GTAAGTACTACGTAGTACTACGGTATACCCCCCTTCAGTGCCTATGAAATTGTCAGTGAAATCTGATCAAAACCGGTACAGCTCCAACTGGTGCCTTGAAAACTATTCACAATGGTCTAAATCCATCACAGCCCTTACTGTACTGTATATTTTATTGGATAAAATCTTTTAACGCATATTGATGGGATATTTGTGTCCAATTAGAGACAACTAGGTACACACCCAATTTGAACCATAAAGAAGTTCGTCATTGGCCGATATGTTCCGGCCAGATGCAACCGGAGAAATCATAGGAACTGAAGCGGATGACCTAACAAACATTTCCATGCGGAGGTAGTATTACATAGTAGTGCACTACAGTATACGTAGTACCGTTAACGTTAGAAGAAGTAAACGATAAACACACGAGGAGACTGCGCCCAAAGCGTAAGCGGTATAAAACTGTACATATTCATAAGGGGCTCTTCCAAGTAACTTTCAAAAACGAACGGAGCCAATCCGAATCGTTTCCGTCGTACTTTGAAATCACCTCTTCAAAGTACGATGGGGAGTCATGCTTTGGTCGTGTTTTCGGTATTTGTGCATTCCAACTAGGTTAAAATGATTGGATTACGTTTTACAGTAGTCGACAGCGTGGAGGGGGTCAGGCAAAAATATATCAAATGTTAGAGAGTTTTTATGAGAAGCTACAATCTGCAACCCATCAACTGGATACTTGTAATCAGCCAATGAAAATGCACTATATTTTTATGTCTCTGATTCAGAGTTACTCGATTCATTACTACTACTATCACTGTCGGAATTGTTGTCACTCTCGCTCTCGCTGTCGCTCACGTTGCCACTTGCGTCCTCGTCTTGCTTCTGCTTGATGTACTCCTCGAGTTTGTACAGCTGCCGGTCGGCCTTGTGTATGCAACCCTTGATGCTGCTAGCCTTGAGGTCCTTGAAGGCTTCCTTGAGCCTTACCAGGACATGACGAAACGTCGTGTCTTGGGTGTACTGACGCCCAACCTTGTCAAAGGTAAAGTAATGTAGATAGTAAATTCAATCACGAT